TGAGCTTGTAACATGGTTCTGAAGTCTGTAGATGTTTACTCTCTGTAAAGTTATAAAATACAGGCCTGGAAGGGACCTTCAGAAGTCACTTGGCCTTTCCAAAGCAGGATCACATGCAATATATAGAATTACCAAATTAAAAAAGGTGTTTTGAAACAGAAAGCTATACAATATATAATACAAGAAATATTGGGCATTGAAAAAGCTTAGTTCTAAATGACCTTAGCTTTACAGTATGCTGGTTAATGCTTTCTAAATTCTATTTTGTACATGTGCATGAATACATATATCCACACACTTACCCTCTCCTAAGTACTGGTTTCATGATAGTAAGTATTAAGTCTCCAACTGCTCGTTACAGAGTAACACACAGCATTTGCTCTCCACCCTACCTGTACCCCCCCTCAGAAATCTGTTTCTGCTAGAGCTACTTGCCCCATGACTGGAAGAGGAGCTCCACAAATGAGTTTTTTCCTTCTTCCCCTGCTGAAAAAAAGCTCTGGCAAAGACTACAGGCCATAATTAAATATGCTGTAAGCTGCTGCAGCTCCATGATGAACACAGACACCGCTCTGCCTCGCTGGAATGCTTAGTGGGAATTGCTGGCTCCAGAAACACAGGCTAGGAGTCGGACAGATTACTCTGCGAGACGGGTGTCTGTATGAAGTTTGCATGCATAAACTGCTCACAGAACTGCTTTTCTATTCTTACCTGTTATCCCTAGTGACTCACAAAGCATCCCCAAGTTTACTAAACTCTGGAGTACCTTCAGTGTGCTTTAGAAACTTTTGGAGGTTTTCAACACCTTATGCTAAGATTTTCCTCCAAAGCACAGCTGACAATTAAAACACTGCAGTTTTAAAATGGTAGACATAAAGAACAGTGTATGTTTCTACTCAAAGGTATTTTCTAAATCAGCATCCCTCAAATACCATGTAAAAATGTATGCAGTTTAACATCTAAAAGTTTATTGATTCTCTCTGTGATAATGTATATTAAATTATATGTGGCTCTGTCAAATTCTGCAGTGGCCACAGAAACACCAGTAAGTGTTACATTAGCCACTGTTACACACAAGAGCTCCACGCTTTAGAGGAGAGCACTGTCCAACAGCACCAACTGGCCGAAAATAAATTTTAATTTTACTTTCCCTTTAATTCAAATAGCTATTAGTCAACAATAGTCCAGTAATAGGAATGAGAAGGGGTTCTTAGGCAGCAGATGACTGCAATAGTCTCAGGGAAATTCCTTCCTTGGGACTGGCTTTGGTGGAAGAAAAAGTGTTCTTTGGCAGGCTGGTTTTTTTTCTAGTTCCATTTAAGGCAATTTTGTCAGAGGTAAAAACAAAATAACTTGCAGGGTTGTTAAAATCTCTGCTCTTCCTTTCTACACTTGAAACACTACATCTTTATTCATAAGCAAATGTTAGAAAAAAAAAATAAGGATGATTCAATTAGTTGGGAGGGGAAGGAGCAATTAAACTACCCAAACAGAATCGACATGAGAATACATAAATAATACTTTAGGTAAAAGCTATTTGCTTAAAGATGCCAATGTTTTTACTAATTTATTGCCAGGGCTAGTAAGAAATACTCTTGAGAAACAAGGTGGTTTTTTTCAGTCTCCTACAATCGCACCAAATTTACATTAGAGGTGCTCCTCTGTTTTGACAGTTGATTGTACTTCAATTTAATATTTCAATTTAAGTATGGTGCTCTCTCTGGGGAGGAGTAGTAATAAGTAGGCTTGATGTTTCCCAGGACTTCATCTTCCCAGTTGGGGAGGCAGCAGAAGAAGAAAGCACAACCTATTACAACAACAGTGCTGGCCCAACCAAAGCCATATGCCCAGCTGAACATATTATCTCCCGTCAGTGAAATATCTTCTGTGAATTTCACTGGGTAGATGACCAAGCCTATGATCTGGAATGCAGCTAGAGAGAAAAAGAAAGAAAAGAGGGAGTAAATGACAACAAAATATATTACATTTCCCAATAAAAAAGGTACCTGGAGATAACTGCATATCCTCTTAAGGTATGTGAGGATTAGCCTCAGCCTGACAATCAAATCCGCATTCTTAGAGAGGTACGTGACTTCTGGCCAAGGCAGATCCCCACACCTATCTGACTGAAGCAGCTATGGCTGATATTGCCAGGTTGCTAAGGCACATACCTGCATGCCTTGACCAGCCCTGTCCTGCAGCCAGGCACCGTGAGCCCTGCGGAGCCAGTTACCTCCAGCATGTACCATAGCCCCGTTGCTCCTCTTCCCCTTGGGAAGGTGGGAAGCACCTGGGGCTATCAGCTCCTAAGTCTTAGCATGTGATATGCAGGGTTAAAGGTGTTGGTTGCCCCCATACACTGCTTTTGGGAGAGTGCTAACTGACAAAGGCCACTGGATCTTCCTTAACCTCTCAGAGCGTAAATCAACCTTCCCTTGTTCCCCAGGAAAATGAGTCACAAACCAGACAAAGACAGCTTATTTCATAAAGGAGGCTCCATCTAGCATGTTTTTCTGCTGATGCCCATTTTATATCTAAAATAACTTTGCCTTTGTGCCCAGCCTTACCAACTACAAAGAGCAAGCCTCCGATTCCTCGCACAAAGTTGAAGCGAAGTATCTCGATTGAGAACGCGATGACTGCAAGGGCAAAACAGATGACCAGGATCACAAAGCCAACAAGGTATGTGGCAGCTGCTGCTCTCCCCCATCCTTGAAGAGAAAACAAGAAAGATGTTACGCACAGCAGTGCACTGAACTGTAGGTCACTTCAGGTCTTTAGTTTCCTTTCATCATTTTTTGTTGAAATCCTTTACTGTAAGAAACATGCCTTATGTCAAAGCAATACTGGATGCCTCCGAAGTGCACAGAGCAGAAAGGCACCATTGTTGGCGGAGCAGCACAGAACTCCCTGCCCGCTAACTTGTCCTGCCGAAGACAGGGATATAGTGCAGCATGGTAATGGAGATAACATCTCTAAATTGTGTATCTGTAAGAGACCCACAGACATCTGAGCTGATAGGGCACACAACCGCTGGGAAGGTACTTTATCACTACCATTCCTTTTTGACATGCAAGTTTACAAAGCCACTTCCACACATGGGGAAGTATGAGAGCAGGCAAAAGGGCACCACCACAGGAGATGACTGCTGGGAAATCACAGTGCTGTCAGCATACAGCTTCTTGCCTGTTTGTTTATGACAAGAATAATGCACATGGATCAAAATTAGCATGACCAAAAAGAGATAGATTTGGAATAGCTGAAGTGAGAGATGACAAAGAGAAAGCTCTTGAAGATAAACTATACCCAGCTGAAAAAAAACAACTTAGTAACAGCTGAAATGTAGCAGGTGGAAGAGAAACAGCAGAATCTGAGGTGAAGTGGAAGAGTCCTCTTTGAATCACTGCTTTGATATTTGATGGGACAGGCTGGTGCAGATTCTTAGGATCAAGCAACTGCAGGCTGGAGAGGCTCAGGCATGAAGCAAGTGGCCTTAACGCAGTACCAGCACCCAGAACTCACCCACCACAGGCCAAGGCTGGGGCAACAAACGTAAGAAAACCTCCCAGAAAAACAGCCAGCAATTCCCCTTTCACAATTTCATAAGCCCGTGTTAAGGCCCTCATTACGGCCAGACCCTGCCCTCTTTAGAAACCAAGCAGGAGTTCAGGTGAGCCTAATGCAAACAACAACAAGCAAAGGTGTTCCTGCCCCAGAGGTAGGATACCTACCCACATGAGCTAAGCCATACCAGCTAGTGCTTTGTTTTCCAGTCAGCTGTCATCACAGCTCACTTCCCACATCTGTGTAACATGGTTTCTACTTTCACACATTCAGAAGTAGGGCCAGATCCCGAGCTCCCTCTAACGTAGGTATAAAGAGAGCAATGAGATCTAGGTCAGAACATTTTCAAAAAAATTTTTTTCATCAGAGCTGTCTGTTCCAAACACAGCTGAAGTGACTCTGGGGACACCCTGTTTTCAACATAGCCTCCATTCTTTCCGTGCAAAAAACTAAGAGGAAAAAGACACAGAGACAGAGAACCTTTTCCTAAAGAGTTAAAATCCTCCACCCTAACTCACACACTCTACTAGTTGCATAAATGGGGAAAAACTGGTAATTTGAGTCAGAGAATGCAGTAGAACTATCTCAGACACGTCTACTACATACATCAATTTACTCTCCAAAAGCAAACCATCATTTTACAGTTATTTTTGTCAGATTAGCCTGAACTGGTTTCTTTTCCCCCTATTCCAATGGCAAAAGTGAAATACAGCAGCCATCCATCAGCCAAATCTCAGCCCAAAACCTCCAACCACCACCACTACCACCTGAATTCATGCTGGCACAGAAAGGGTAAGGAAAAGGGTTTTCCTTCTCCTCTCCCTTCTTGGAGCTACTCAAGACAGCAAGAACTTTTCAAATCAGACCTCCTTCAGCCAGTTGTGCTTGCTTCATAGACCTTCCCTAAGAGAGTGCTGTGGGTGAGGAGGGAGGGAGGACACATGATGAGCGTTTGGAGATTAAAGCTACGTCAGTGGTCTGATAAAATCTTTTCGTACAAAATACTCCCTGACATACCTAACACTGGTACTGGATATATCTCCACAATAGGATTTATTTAGGGACAACTAATATAAAGGGATATTTAACCATTACACAGCCAGCCCAGGAAAAGCGATTCAGACTAAATAACCTAGGAATGCTATTGATTGATATTTGCCCTATTAAGAAAAAAAGCACAACAAGAGTAAAGAACACTTAGTTATCAAAGTATATTCCTCTTCTGATGCATTACTTATGCTAGCATAGTATAGGAAGCCAAATCTGGCATCCGCCTGACAAAACTTAGCTTGCAAACTCAAATACACCTGCAGATTAGACATCTTGAGGTTTGGTGCAACACGAACATGACTGGAGGAGAAACAAGCCACAAAGCCCCCAGTGTGCTTTCTGCTATTTCCATATCCCCTGTGCTTACTCTGCAAGTGTAACAAGCTTTTGGATACAGGTCAGCCACGGCTCCTCTCAGAGCGGTTTATTTTCTCATCTCTGGTGATATGAAAATGACAACACATATAGCTGTAGGAGATCTCTTGTCAGGAAGATTAAAGTCAAGCCCAGCTTTGTTTCAGGTCTTCAGAAACAGGGCAGTAGCAGGCGCCACCATTATGAAATCCAGTGGGATTTGTGCTCACATGTGACGGAGGTCAGTGCTGGTGACCCTGTATCTTCCTCTCCTTCTCCTGCTGGATTATCTATGTGTCTGCTCTGGGCTGGACTAGACAACAGCCATCAAACAGCCAGCCTGACACATGAGCACCAGTAGGAATCACGGGAAGAGCAGTGAAAAGCTGTGGGCTTGTATATGTAGGCAATGTCTCAAATATAGGGAAGTCTCAAAAAATTAACCAAGTCTTTTAACAGATGACTAATAGAAGAAGTTGGGGTGGGAGGCTGCACCCTTACTGAGCATAGGGTGTAGCCCTGGCACGCTCCTTTCCCACACAATCTGTCGCTACCCCTACTGACAAGGAGAGCTTTCAGTGGAGGAGCTGCTACAGGGCTCCGACTGAAATTGCTGTTTCTCCATGCACGATTCCCCTCCTCCCCACACCTATCAAGTCAGGCTTTCCTGGCTCCTTTTCCTCCCAGAGGCTCCTGAGAGCTGAGCCCCACAGGCACCCAGCTCTCCTGTCTCTGTCTGCAAGATCCTCCTCCTACAGATCCTAGCTGCCAGGAGAGGAGAGGTGTGGGTTTACACTCTCACTGTTTGCTGCCTTCAGAGCTGGAGAGACCAACTCACACCCAGAGAAAGACAGATCAGCCTCAGTTTCTTGCTGGTTTGTGCTCAGAAGTACCTTGTAACCATGAGACATTTAGCCAGAATTTAAGTTTTCCATAAAACCCAGAAAATTCTCAGGGCCCTTCATTTGGCAGAGAGAGTATTTCTTACTCAAAATAGGCATAAATATGATGTCTGCTTATGAAATCAAACAATAACACCACGGTAACTTGGGGCTGCATAAATAAGAGAGCAGAAAAGCAGAAGAACAGTTGGAGGTATTAGCGTTCCCCAAGTCAGCTTTGCGTCAAAGAACAGTCAAGTTCTTTGCATCTAATCCGCAGAAAAGTATTTGTCAATTAGGTGGTGTTGAAAGGACATTTAAAAAAATAATGATGTTTGGGAGCTGAAGGTCTATAATTATTAGGAAGGATTAAGAGTTTTATTACATAGCTTGATTAATGATGACTATGGAAAGCAACTACACTGCAAATGTTATCATGCAAATAACTAGGAGGGGTCAGGATTATTTAAAGCTCATGATGAGCACCAGTAATAAGATGAAATTAAAAAAAAAAAAAAGCAATAGAGCCTTAGTGTTAGGTGTGTTTCCTGATCTTATTCAGCTGTGCCTCAGGCTCACCAGACAGGAGATGGAAGCTATACAGAATAGGATATTTAAATCTAGATTTGCCTTTAGAAATTAATAAAAGGACTGGGAAAATAACCTAGCAGGAAGATGGACTGCTACAGGATTTGAAATAACAAGCTTTTCTCATCTTTGTTCACGTACAAAAACAGAAGCTAGTTTGTTAGCTTGTCAGTAACTGGAATCTTAGTGTAGAAGTTTTTACCGAGACATGCATAGCTGAGGTACATTTTTGCACTGTAGTTATAATATTTTTCAGTATATAAATGGCAGTAGCAATTCTTGTTCAGCCTTGAGAGCCTGTTACATAGAATGCCCAAAAATATCTGCTTTTGGTGATGAAACAAAGGAGTAGCGGACTGCGAGCAAGAGAGCACTGTCAGTAATATTTTCCTGCTCATATAAAGTTCCGTGGTAGCACAACTGGTGAAAAGAAGGTACATGCATAGCCACCAGGAGCACAGGACAGCCCAGAATTGAAGGCTTGCCAGGAGGGCTGCTTGGGAATGAATACTGGGAATCACAGCTCTGTTTTGGCTTTAGGAGTGCAGAAAAGCAATTGCTATACTAAGAAACTATTAAATGAAAGCCCACTAGCACAAACTTGGCTTCACTCACTTGGCTGTGCTGGGAGCTCAGGAGAGGCACAATCCTATAAGTTTCCAACTTTCAATGTCTCCAGGTTGCTAGCAGTAGAAATGCACCTTCCCAGGGACCAGCAAAGCCCACCAGCAGGGATGCCAGCCTCACCTGCTCACTGGGATCTTTTACTAGGAAGGTGCAGTAAATGTGTTCTGGGTGTAGACAGAGACACCAACTGCTACACCTCTTCCATTAGCATTTGCCGAGTGCCTACGCTCGGCTGACGGTGCAAACTAAGTTAGTTTGTCTCGAATACACCCTGGCATTGTAAATCAGACAGACGCATGCCTGAAAAGAGGCATACTGAAAAGATAAGTGTACATGTAACATTCCTCCTTTATTTACCTGGCCCTTCAGTGAAGTCGACCCATGCATTCAGCTTCACCAATAATCTGTGGTATCAAAGTCCATGCCTCTAGGGACACAGGTACAGTGGCACAGCTGCGGTGAAACATGATTCACAAAGGCTGGGCTCCTACTTCTAGGTTCCACCTTTTTTTTTTTTTCAGCACTTACTAAGGATCCAGATGAATGCTTCCCTTTTTCTAGGTCGGCTGTTGTGTAATTAATGAATACCAACTGGCTGTTAGGAATATAAGAAAAAGCTAACCTCCATGGCATCACCTTTACTGCACGCATACAAGCCCATCTTTTACAGCGATAGTTCAAAGCAAAGTCGCTGGGAGCAGCTGTTCAGAACCAGGAGGACACTGCCACCCACAAAACTGCTCCTAAACTTACAGCCTCATTACTATGAAGACAACCACCCCCTCCAAGTAACCATATTGCAAACAATCCCTGTCATATCTGATGGCTTACTGGTAAGTTTTAAACTCACCATCAACAGTTTAATCCTGAAATGGTCTAGACTAAGTCATCTTGAGTCATATTACAGTGCAGTGCAGCAGCTCTGCATTGCAACATTTTGATAATACACAGACGCTGCCAGCCAGGTATTTCCCAGACACAAACCAGTAGAGCTCTAAACAAAATCCCTTTCCCACCTCCCTATCAAATGACACCCTACTCTTCTTTTGCCCTTTCTAGTTCTTCCCTCTTATGTGGCATTTGCAAATGTGCATTAAGAAGCAATGCAGTTTAGGAGACATTCCTGTTTGCCAATCTTTCTTTGTCTGTTCTGGCCCCTTCCCCCCTCCCATTTAAATTAGGTGACTCGGCTGCTTTTTCTCTTCCTTTTCTTAATACATATTTCTCAATTAAGAAACCGTCTAATGGAGCTTTCTATTAACAGGTATCCACTCTGAAGTTTTGGTTTTATCAGGAAAGGTGCAGGATAGTAGTTATTGTATGCAAAACACAAGTTACGTATCTCAATTAATTAACTTTTATTTTCCTGCAGCAGTGCTGTAAATGCCTGCTAGGCATTATTTCCTTTGTAGATGCCCTCACCTATTTTCAGCCTAATTGCATTAGCATGGAAAAAAGGAAACAAAATAAATCAAACCTGAACTCATATGTTACATTGTGTCTCTAGATGTAAACAGTATTTGAGTAGACAGTGGCACTGATGTCATGAAAATTAGAGAAGAGGCAAAGTCAAGTTGATATAAATAAGCCAAGGATTTAAATAAAGTTTTTGGTTAAATAAGTGAAGTTAAGGACACTGTTCTTCTCTGACAGCTTGTTAACTAGAAAAACCAGCAGAAAGTTGCTTTTGCCCCACAACACTCAGGGCTCACACAAAGAACACACCCATCAGCACTCAGGGACATGAGAAGCAGTGTCATTACAGGAGAAAGCAAATTTCAGCAGCTCTACTGTATTACCACTTCTTCCGTGTGCAATGCAAATTTCAGCAACTCTGTACTAGTTCTTCTTCTCTCACCTGGCTGAGAAATGAAGCCGCTGCTCTTACAATACATTCAGGATTTAGCTTACTCTTGGGCGTTGCAATGAAAAGCTTCTGGAAGTCAGTCTGCCTGGACAGTAAGGGATCTGTGCAGGGAAGCAGTCCCAGCTCTCCCAGCTGAAACACACCCTTCCAGCTTCCCAGTCCCCAAAGCACCCTCATCCAGGATCTTAAGGCGGGTCTGCTTATTTGTCCAAAAATATTTTGTTTGAAGGAAAAGCAGATGTAATCAGGCCCACATGTTCTAGCAAAACCCAAAAAGTCCCCAAAAAACCCCAGAAACCAGGAGCGTGCAGTAAGAATATTACACTGGCCAGATACAGAAGCAGCTCAACAAGTTAAAACAGAGGCACAATTATCCTGATTCAGGCCTCAGTGCAACAGAGGTATATAGAGGAAACGTCTTTTTTTTTTTTTCCTGCAAACCCACATCAAGCCATTTTAAGCCGCAGGTCAGGAGGCAAAATAATAGCCACGTTCCCTTGGCCGGGCAGGGTTAAAGCAAGGTAAAAAAAACTGGAGGGCCAGGAGAAGGGCATTTGACTGTTGTCCAGGTGTGCTTCTGCATAGGACACCCTGCATGAAGGTGCCCATGCCCACCACCCGATCAGCGAGGGGGAGCTGGCTAGGGCCAGGCGAGACTGCCTGGACTGCAGTTGAGAGAGAGCAAACTGAAGAAGCGACTTGTGGCCAGTTGGCTCTCTTGGCTTTGTTGTAAAATAACTTTTTTAAGAAAAACCAAGCCACCAACACCCTGGCCCCTCACTGACAGAAAAGATTGCCCCGTCTCAGTCTCGACCCGTATTCCTTCGCTGGTTGAAGCCCTCAAACAGCATCAGCACTGGTTCTGCCAGGGAAACCCCACCTCGGGAAGGAGCTGCCCTCCTAGCAGCGGTGGGGAGGCCGCTCACGGTGCCAGCGCCCACCGCCCCTCACCATACGCTCACCGTAGTCCATGAGGGACACGCAGTTCCAGTTGAGGTCCTGCTCGCCCCGCGTACAGCTCTCCCACAGCGACGCTTGCTGCACGTAGGGCTCCGACTCCGACTCCAGCCAGCCCCTGCCCGCCAGGGCGATGATGCCC